AGGTGTCGGAAAATGGCACGCTCTTTAAGGCATAGCTCACAAGATTTTACAGAGCTAACTTTCGGATTCTGTAATATTCAATGCTTTAAATAGTCATCCAGCCCGGCCGTATTTTACCTACACAAATCAAAGCGTACAGGTAGACTTCAACTTTTCTAAAAATGGGTCAGTTTATTGTGTGAAAAACAGCATTAAGCGCTGTATGGACATAATATTTGCTGTGCGTTTTGTCTCACAAGGTCGATACATTGGTGAAAAGAAAATTAGGTCACCCTGATGTTGTTTGTGTGGTGTTTTATTGAAGGTAGAGGTCGCTTTTTTCTGTTTTAAGCATCGTCCTGGAGTTGATGACATAAGCAAACACTATGAAAGCCTCTAGGGATTCTCCTATTCTGGCCTCAACACCAAAGCTTATAGATTTGTGTGCACTTTTTCGTGTACCGGTACAAGGTAAGCAAAGGTGGTGGGTGACCGCCCAAACAAATACGCTGTAGATTCGTATATCAGTGCAGCAGACATACTGAATTCATGCCTCAGCGAAACCTCAAATATTCTCCGAATTTATAGTATAAGTGGTTTATATACTTAGTAGAAGTAGATTATACTTCAACCATGTAAAAAATAAATAACGTAGTACAAATAAAGAATGTTTTTTGGTGAGTCAATTAGGATTTCCCTAGACAAGGGTGCTCTAGTACAAGACGTTATGTGTGTGGTTGGCATACAGACATAAGTATGTTGATACAGTATGATGCACACGTTCTCTCTCTCTCTCATCACTAATTAAAACTGAAATCATATTTATTCAATTAACACAAGACATCCATTTTCTCTCCATTTGTGCATTGTGTCTTCGTTTTACAGATTAATCTCAGTCGATGGATATACATGCAGGCAAATTTTTGAACTCTTTCACCGCCACTATGGTACTTTTAACTCTGCACAGCAGATCAAGCACATCCTCTTATACCAATTCCACAAAAAAATCGACAACATCAGCGCCCTCCATCGCAAATGTATCGGTCTCCCAGAGAAATTACAGCAGTAACGCCACTGAGACCGCCCCTGCTGTAACAGAGACCGCGCCTATATCCAGTATAAACGAATCAGACACGACCGTCACCAACTACAACGTCGATCACGGCAACCAAACCACGGTTTCTACGACCGCGACCACGTCCACAGCTACCGGCGCCACGCCCACTCCAGATTGGATGATAGCCACTGTCGTATCTTTTATTGGATTAGGGCTTTCGTTCAGTGTTGGAGTAATTGTGTATGTCTGCTGTCGGACCGGTGAGGATTGCTGTCTATGTTGTTGTTGCAAGTACTATTTTGATTGCAGTGATTGTCGAAGAGGATGTAGAAAGGGATGTAGAAAGAGATATTTAAAGTGTTTTTCAGCTGATTATTGTGAAATTTGCAGCTCGGTAAGTTTTTTCTGTTCATTGTTTTCCGTCTACCACTTTCATCTTCTCCTGTATAGTCCTGGTATTCTTGTTAAAATCACAGAAGTATTGTACGTGTACTTCTAAAGGCCCGGTCACACTGACGAGAGGATGGATTGAGGACGACATTGAGGATACAAATTTGCTTGGCATTCGGGCGTTCGTTGTACCCTGCAACAGAAATGACCAAAATGACGAATTTTCTGCAATACATTGCTGATGAGAAGAGTATGAATTACGAATACATAAATGATGCGTTGCGTATGTATCACGAATAAAAGCGGATGCCATTGCAGATGTTAGCAAATCAGACGCAAATCAGACGCAACACAAACGCTTAAATCGTGACAAATCCGTAATATTCGCAATATGTTATCTTAGTTCGTGATATGGACGTGATGGGAACACTCAATACAAGCTCTCCTAGTCCACTAGTGCGCTAGCAATTACCCGTGAGTTGCGGATAAGTGCGGATAACAGCCCATGTATTGCATACTAATATTTATTGCGTATGTTTTGCGGACGTATTGCACATGTCATCCGAAACCAGAATTTGGTGCAGCTCAGAAAATGCGCCTTTGCGGATAATTGCAGACGTGTGCGGATGCTGGCAGACTGACACAAGCCTGTATGATGAATATTGCGGATGTTTGGCGGTTATCAACTAACCTGTGCGCAATTCAAGCATAATTCATCCTAACCCCAGTGGGGCCGGGCCTTAAATGCTCATATGAACTATTTAAATTAGGAAGGAAACGTGATGCTAATCTTTTATGGGCCCTTACCCTTTTAGCTTCTGTTACGGTCCAACACGGCCCGCACATAAAAAAACACACAAACAACAGTGTATCAACTATGAAAATAATATTCTATGTCCATATCTGTTCAACTGCCTTTTATCGAAGCGCCGTTTTCCACTTGAGGCTGAGATTCTGTGCTGCTGCCTTTCATAGTGAGTTAAGTTAGGCTTCAAATAGTCCAGGTCCTAAAATACAGTTTTTCCACTGTCAAAGTTCAAACTGTTCACACTCACGTGTTGCGTTCTCCAGCGTCTCAAATAGTTTTTTTTCACTGTCAAAGNTGACTTCAATACAAGAATTTACAAATGTAAAAAAAATAAAAGAAATTGGAGTTGAATATTAAGGTTATCGTTGGACCTTTTTTTTCTTCATTATTTTAAAAGCCCTTGCAGTGCAAAATACTGAATCTGATTTCGTCTATCTAAATTAGTAATCATTTGGACATAAAGAATTCTTTGTCTATGTTGTATTGTGAATCATAGTGGATGAATGCAATGTATCACAAAAATACTTTTATATATTTTTCGCAATCCATCAAACTTGCCATTAAAAAGTTTAAATGAAGAGCTTATCATAGTTATGACCAAATGCAGTTTTTTTTAGAAAAGAAATGGCAACTGTGCTGCATCCTTTTGCCTAAGCAAGTGATAGTGCTTTGCAACACCGTATTAGGAATATCATGTGTGTGTCGGTAGGAAGAGTATTGCTATAATCTATACATTGTATAGCTTCGCTAGATAACAAGGAATAATCCCTTGTGTATGCAAGTTTTTATATCCTTGCATTTGTTCCAAGTACAGTAAAGTAGTGAGAGAGTATTTCAAGAGAGTGTTTCAAGAGTTGACTTTAATATTATGCTACCCTCCTTTCGGAGGGCTAGAAAAATTAGTCTATAGACTCATTGTATTGTTCCTCTCCACGGAAATCTTTAGTAAAAGGCGAAAGATTTATACGTGGATGAAGAGAAACCAGAGTAAAGCATGTTACTTACAGTGAAGTGTAAACACTATCACGCCCATAGAATTATGGCAGGAGCAAGTGGTCTCATAACCAGCAATATCAGCATATACAAAAATTCACAAGATTACGATAGTGTAATTACATACTACAACTGTGATAGCAAATTAATTTCACATAATTATGATATTATTTTCATATTATATTATACTATGCATTAGTTCTTATAAGTGGATGAAATATATAAGTATAAGTTGTGTGGATGAGAACAAAAGCATTCAGGCAGGCTGGCACGTCTGTGCGCGTTAATATTGATGATGTAAAGTCAACACCTAAGTACAAAAGTCCTTTAAGCAGGATAACCCAACCAACAAATAGAAATAGATTTGACAGGAAGGAGTCGTAATTTCAGGATGATATTTTTGATAAAATGTATGAAAATGACCGCGTTCTCTCAACACCCTCAATTTCAAGCCATGCAGGTTGCTCCATTTTTAGCCGTCGTTTCATTCGCCGAAGTTATGGATTATTTTGACCAGAACTTCTATCAATGAGAAACTTCATTTAAAAAAACTCATTTGGAAGAATAAATGCCCAGCTTGCACCTTTGATGGTTACTGTCTGTTGCCCTGGCTTTATCTTACCCTTTACCAGGGTGGCAGATTATTATTAATATTATTATTATTATTTATTGCGGTTCAAGTACATTTTTACAATGACTATGACCTAACAGTATACATTATATAACCATATAACTAAAATTACAATAATAAATTACAATATTGTTTATACAATAACTGCGATCAGATTTTACAATTGCAGTATACGCTCAGTTACTTTGGTTGACTAGGTGGTGGTTGGTTGAGAATATATTTTTCTTTCCTTATTACACATTGTGATATAGTGGGCCACATTCTTTATAACATCTAAATCGTTTGACTGCATTATACATTTGAACTGGCCCTCTGGGGTTTGTGTAGGATCTGGTTTTAGGATCTTCCTGTGTTTGGTGTGTAAGGGGCATTTTAAAAGAAAGTGTATTTCGTTTTATTTCAGTATCTGCCTCTTTGGATTTCTAAGTCGTGTGCCCCTGTTCTAAATTTTGCCAAATTTTGCATTTCATGTTTATATAGGAAAAAAGGGGAAAAGCGAGATATAAAACGACCGTCTGTTTATTTAAACTAAAGACATATCTGAATATCCTGTGAAAAGTCAATCTGGTAGAGGATAGCTTTATCTAATATTTAAGTAGTTAATAAAATTATTTGGACAAAAAATTTGACAGCTGTTAAATTTTCATTTGAAATAAGAAAAGAAAAAGAGGATTAGGTCCGACTATATCGGTCAGGCTACCAAACGCCTCCTATTCACGGACGCGATCCCACCATACTGCTCGACACGGGACCTTTTGGCTGCTGCATTTCTGCCCTGGCCCAGTACGGTCCTCCTTAGTCAACCTGGTCACTCTAGCCTCCGCCGGAGTTACCATATTGATGCCGAGCTTAGTGCGGACACCCGATCAACATAGATAGACGCCAAGCAGAACCCCTGGCCTCAAGCCGTCCACCAACCCAGACCTCCAAGTAGCTAGATTACAGGAGCACGCCACAACTCCCAGTCGAGAATTCTGGGTAAAATATAAGCTCTTGTTCATAAACCAACCTTCTCGATAGGTGGCAGCAGCACAGTGTAAATAAGCAGTACGATAAACGCTCAAAGGGACACCTATATTTTCACATGTTATTCAAATAAGGTTGACGACGTCATCTTTCTAAAATTAGACACCACGTTACAGCTTTATTTACTTCCGCCGGCATGTCTTCACTTGCCCGACTGCTTGTGCTTGCTTGCCCAGAGAAAGGCGATCGGAAGGGGCTATATAAGATGCCGAATAGCATGGATTTGTCAGACAACATTGACCACTCGACTAATAGACACGTCGAAACAGCCTCTGGGATAATCAACTGTCGGTCTGAGGAAAAGTCCGCATTTAAGGTAACTTCAGGTACATTTCTTTCAAAATATAATTTCTAGTCACAAAAAACTCACTAGCACTACTAATATTTTGTTGTGTTGACTTGACACCCATTTGCTGTAAAGATGTTTTTCATTTTAATACTGTTTCTAATTATTTTATTTACATGTATTTATTTATTTATTTATTTATTTATTTATTTTTTTTTTTTGCAAAGAATTAGTTAAACAAGTTTTTATAGTATGCTAATAGAGCCCCACCGCTTACTTTATTATTATTATTATTATTAGTGAAAACAGCGTCAAATAACGTCACTTAACTATTTTATATATATATATATATATATATATATATATATATATATATATATATATATATATATATATATATATAATGCTGATACTCGCGATATATATACATGTATGGCATAAGACAATAGACTCAATCCAATTATTTCTGGTTTGTTGTTATTTAGGTTATCGGTATTATCGATATCTATAAGGGCCTTGGCACCCATTCTCGTGACAGAGCTACCAGTACAGCTACACCCCCATTCGTGATTCCACTGTTCAAAAGATGGCATCGGCAGTCGCAGAAACTCGCTTTGTAACTCACAGAGTTCCCAAGAAAATGTCCATCCGGGACTTCGTGCGTGCCAACAAGCTTGAGTTTAAGACAGGGCGCGGGTTCTACCAGCTGACCAAACCAGAGACCATTCAGGCTTACAAGGAGGTGGTGGCAAGGCGCAAGAGTGACAGGTCCTTTATTAGCGGCCCTGCGGTAAAAGGTGTACTGGGGATCGATAAAGAAGTGAGAAAATTCACTTTAGACAGATCTAAATTGCCCGACTTTGATATCTTTGTGCAAAGCACATCCTACAACCGGGCACTCGTCGCCAATACCGAATTTCTGTACGAAGTTGACGGAAGCAGTGGTCCGGTGAAACGATCCTTGGCCGGGGCGGCGCTTTACACCGGGGAAGGAGCTTCTTCAGCAACCCCCGCTGCTAAACGCTCTCGTACAGCCCCAGCCCCGTCTCGCCCAACCGGTGTTCCTGGCGGACCCATTGAGATTGTCTTTTCATTTGACACCACAGGCTCCATGAGCAGCTGTATTATGCAGGTACGCCAGAGCGTTCAGGACATGATCCAGCGACTTATGTCCGACATCCCAAACCTGAAGATTTCAGTGTTCGCTCACGGAGATTACTGCGACGAGGGGGCCTACGGGTATGTTACCAAGTACATCGACTTCACCAATGACGTCGGCAAGCTGTGTCACTTCGTTAACGACGTCGAAGGCACCGGAGGCGGTGACTTTGAAGAGTGCTACGAGCTGGTCCTGCATCAAGTAAGAGAAGAACTATCCTGGAGCCCTGGCTCTCAGAGATCCCTGGTGATGATTGGGGATGCCACTCCTCATCAGCCAAACTACCATTTGAACAAAAAGAGACTGGATTGGAAGGTTGAAACTGACCGCCTCTTTAATGAACTGGTAAGCCCTCGCTGATTTTTGGATAAGATCCTGATATATATTGTTGAAAATAGAAAATGATATCGATTAAAATAGATAAATAAAGATAACCGAATTTGAGCTAATCACACATTTCTTATAGAGTGGAGACCCCCTCAATTATTTATTTATCCTGGGATATCTTGATTATTTACAGGGTGTGAATATTTATGCCGTTCAGTGTTTAAACAATTCCGAGTCAGACAAGTTCTACTCCACACTTGCTGAGAAGACCCATGGTCGCCATTTGAAACTTGATGAATTTTCCAACGTGTTTGACTTCATTATGGCTATTTGCTACAGAGAACACGGGGCAGAGTTCCTAGAGGTAGGAAAAGTGAATTTCTGAATTTCTGTAAACTGTTCAAGTTTTTTTTTTGTACATATTATATGAGAAGTGGTTGTTTTAAGACTCGCTTAAAACTAATTTTTTAGTAAAGTCACTTTACAAGTTGCTAAAACAAACAACTGTTTAGGTTGGTACTATACTGCGATTAAAAACACGAAAAGAATTTCTAGAGGAGATTTTCTAGTTCATAATTTCGTTTCCATTTCTCTAGGCTTACGAGCAGGAGGTTGCCATGCGTCGTGGAGGTTCTGGCATGAACGCAGAACTGCACCGAATGTTTGAAGAACTGAAGGGGGGAGATAGCAGCGACCCGGCTGTCACGTCAACAACGCCCGACACAGCCGCTTCTGCTAAAACTACTATAAAGAAAGCGACACCTAAAAAGGCAATAACAAAAGGTGCAGCCAAAAAAGGTGCACCTAAGAGAAGTGCCGTAGATGACACAGATGCTCCTGCTAAGGTCGACATGCCTGAGAAGAAATCGACTGCAAAAACAACACCAGTAAGTATATTTTTCTGTAGTCGTTGGTAAATTTTGCTATTTGAAATGTGTTTTTATATTTGAAGTTGAAATAAAATTACTTTCTTTTTGCGTAAAATCGACTTCAATTTCATAAATTACGTTCATTAAGTTAATCTGATCATTTCTTTAGATTTGCTATCATTTATTCGTGCAGGAGGCTCCCGTGAGAGAGTACCGTGAACACGTGACCGTCAACAATTTCCTTCTCAAAAACATGAAGTGGTCCCAATGGAAGTTGGCAATGGTGAAGTCCAAACCCAAGGAAAACGTGGACGCTTGGGTGCCAAGACGACAAAAACACGTCGGCTACAGAAATGTCGATCTTTTCCGCGACGACACACAACGCCCCGCCGTGTACGAGGTAGCGGTGCAGCCGAAAGAGCGTGCAAAGAAATACGTCATGTACGTCAGGCACACGGGTGGTTTTACATCTCACGTTCACTGGGACACTTATATTTTACGTCATCAAAATGTTATCTCGCAACTGGACGGTGTTCTGAACCAGGGCTGCAAAGTGTTCGTACGGCGGGCCTTTGTTCCAAAAAGCGTGAGGGTCGGCAGAAAAAGCTTGAAGGGTGTTGGAGAAATTCGATCTGCTTTGATGGACAGATATAACTACGCCTGGAACAAGCGTCTTCAGGGGAAACGCCACCACAGACAAGTTATCAAATGTGGTGTGACGATTTCAAGTGAGGACTATTAAATTCAAGTGTGTTTACCGATTTTTGAGACATTGTACATTGTTCAAATCTGAAGAAGGCATATGATACAAACGGCATTGACTTTGTTTTGCTAATGCAGTGCACAATCACTCTTGAAATTAAATGGTGGCGTCTACTAGATTATTTCAATGGGTTTCTATATAGTCCCATATTATATGATAATAATAGTAAAACGTGAAATTTACGGTTTCCCGTACAATTGAGTGAAACTTTATATCACATCTTTGGTATAACTATATAATACCAGTATATTTATTCACATCATTGTAAGATGCATTGTTTTTGCATACATCTGATAATTTATTTTTTGTTGTTATCGATGTTGTTGTATTTCTATGACATATTCATAGATGTTATTTCTCATATGAAATTTAAAATGTGAATTTGTACAGAGTATTTTTTACAATAAACATTACGTTTTCATAAAACCTTATGGTATTTTACAAATTTGACTTAACTTATCTTCCAATTTTGACTTGATGAAATATTTTGATAATAAATTAACAGAGCTGCTTATTTTAATAAATGTACAATATAAACGAAAGGGGGTGTATCATTGACGGGATTCTCATGCCGATGTATCAAGTGACGATCAACATGGTGGAAAATTTGCAAACCGAAAACAAATTTTGCGTAGCAAAGAATGCCGCAGAAAAAACAGAGGGGAGGGGACAAGAAAGAGAGGCGTTGAGAGGTTTTCACCAGCGCCCATAGGGTAAAAATTATGATAGATAATATGTGAATAACGGGCCGGGAGTGAAAATTCGAATAGTTGACCACATACAATACCAGATGATAAAACTATTGAAATAAAGTAAGCTTCGCAAATCTCATTTAATTCCTTTTATGTTCACGTTTAATTATATGGAATTGTAGACTACCAATTGAAAGTTGGTATTTATTTACTAAGATCTAAGGCAATATAAATGCTAGCTCTTATCTATTTAATTCAATTGTCCTTTCGAGGTGATGCTTCAAAGTAGAGTTAAGATCTTCGTCAGATAACTACAGTAATATGATTACAAGATTATGTCCTGTCTGAATAGTTAATAGTTTCACAATAAGCAAATAATGATTAACTTGCGGCGTATACATTAGGGGTTAGGCTATACATCTCAAAGATGGTACACACTTTCTCTCCGTGAAGTTTATAGTTCAAAATTGGGGAATAATCGAGAGGCGAATTTGGGGGGGGGGGTCAAGGGGGTCCTGACCCCCTCCCCCTTCCCTTCGATTTCTAAAAAATGGTTTCCTCTTGAAATTAGAATTTTGACTGGCTGAATCATTCCAAACCGCACCAAATGGCACCGTTCGCCCTCTAAAATACCTAAATTCTCGGGTCCCTTCAGTGAACCCCACGCTAAGGGAGGGGGGTCAACTTCGCATCCACGGACCCCCCCTTTAAATAATCCTGGATCCGCACCTGTAATCTGTGTCCTTTACCAGGGCCGCAGTTATTATTGTGGACATTTTTTCTGAGGCCTGTATGTTTGGACGTTTTATGGTGGCATTTGACTCGTCGTACAGTAAAGTAAATTTTTTTAAAGTTTGTATCGCAAAGATGTTACTTCACAGTATTTCACTAAAATTATAAGATAAGAAAATAATTTTAAAAGATAGAAGATTAAAACTCAATCAAAATTTAACAGTTGTTTTCGTATATGTTATATTAGTTTCATTGTCACCGGCAAGATTGCTATTTCTAAATTTCACATGTATCTTTTTTGTGTTAAAACTAAAATTCACTGTCTTGTGATGCTGCTTTCTATATGTATCGATTTTAAAAGTTTAATATTTAGACAAGATAAAATTGCTAACTAATACTAGATAACAGCAACATTGACGGACGATTCCCCATGTAAAAGGTAGACGTCACTGTGCCTATAAAACTATAAAACAGGTCCGGCAATGATGCATGAGTAGAAGAAAAATATATTGCTTTATAAATTATAGTAAATCACTATATATCCCTTTTAGATACAAGTACACCAGATGTCAGCACCATTCCATGTAGTCTGCAAGACAATGTATCCTAATTAAACTTCTTGCTTATTGTATTACATCATATATTTTTTACTGTGATCGATATTTTTATAATTAAACTTCTATAGATATTCTTCATATGTATTAGGAATTTGTTTGATTTTTCTCTTTGGCTTTTCTTGGAAATTGTACCGTACTTCCATCAAGTGCTGCCATCTCAATTATTTCCGGAAGTGTGAAAACTTCCTTCTTGCAGCAACATAATAATAAAAAGTATTATTGTGTCATTTTAATTTGCAGTCAAAATATTGTGAAATGTCGCGACCAGCAAGACCACCGCCTCCGCCACCCACCCCTAAACCAGGTAAGAATCGTCTATGTGGAAGCCTGGTCGAGTAAATGTACAGAAATACTCGACGGCGTCTTGGCTTCAGTGCAATTTTATCGATACTTCCTTGAAGAATCCTGTATATCTAGTAGTAATAGCAAGTATAATATGAAATTTACAAATGAAAAGCACAGCGAATATTAAGTGCTTAACTTTATTTCAGCCGCACCAAGATGTAAATAGTATTAAACTAAGCAGAAATAGTATGATGAGTCATACTCATTCGGTATCTTAATTTTTAAATCATTAAATAATCTTCAGTAAATGTTATTGTAAGCAAAATTAGACATATAAAGTGTCCAAATCAATTCCGCCCACATAAATAATGTGCAAATTAATTGAATGGTAGTTGATTACAAGATAAATTATCAGAGTGTTTTTCAAGTTTTTCACCTCAAGTAAGCAAAATTTCTATAAGCCAAACAAGTGTTTTAACAATTGAAGTTAGTTTTATACTGTGTTTGCATGATCAGGACTGAGGAGGGTCAGTCTGCCAATTAAAAACATTGATGCCCCATGGCTATGTTTTTGTCACTCCACCTTAACATCTCTGCATTCAAAAAACCTTAATTACATGTACATGTACTTAGTTTATTCTTTATGTCCAGTCACCTGATACAACCACGCTCGGCTGTCACCTTGATTGGATAGTAAACGATTGTCGTAAAATCGCTAAATGATATTAAAACCGGGTGCATAAACTTGAAAACCACCTACAACAACCTTGGACTACCACATTAATCCAATACAATGCAAACATAAACTATAACAAGTGGTTAAAGCCTTCAAACCGAATGTCGTAAAGTCCCCATATACCTCCATAGAGACAATAAAATAGAATGAGCTTGTGAAACAAGAAAAATCCAGTTCCAACATAATAATCGAAATAAAATACTGCCGGGCATCGGAGCGGCCTAAAACTTGGCACGCTTACCGCTAATACTGCAGGCTACATCATCCCGTCGCTCGTTTGTAAATTCCGTGCATGGCATACGCACAATCAAACCGTAAAAAACAAATTCTCGGGGTGTCGTTGGCTAGGTCCACGCAACAATCCAATTCAGGAAATGACGTAACCGCAGAGGTCGCATTGTCCAATGGCATGGCTTCTTTTTTGTAATGGTAGGTTAGAGTGGACCTGGCCAACGAGGAGGTGGGGAGACCATCAGCAGATTAGTCGGCTCTTCTTTCATGTAGGCTCCGCCATATTTGGTCTGTGGCTCAGAAGATCCTCAGATCTTCTATTTTGAATGGGCTCTAAATTTCCAACAATTTATTTGAATATCAAGTAGAAAATAGCAACATTACTGAATTTAGAAAAAATATTGAAAATCACAACTGCATACTGCAAAAGTACCCAATTGTATAGTGATAGAAATATTTGAGGTTTTTTAATAAAATACTCTTTATAATCTTTATAATCTCTTTTCTGACAATAACATATATTTTTTCTTTAAGGACAAGTGAAAGTGGTGCGAGCAATGTACAGATATGAAGCTCAGCAGGTAGGCAATTTTTAGATTAAAATGCTGAAACACTGATGTTTATTCTATACACATTGGAAAATGTTCCAGAAATCTGTCAGAAAGAAAATGCCATACAAATATTAATACCTTCCAACAGCCCAATTTCTGCTGCAGGTTCTATTAAGTCAGGTTCTTTAACTTGTTGAGCTTTATGTTTCTATTTTTTGACACAATGGTGAATTTCACTTGCAGATCATAATCAGTATTGAGGGTACAAAGTAAAGTATAATAAGTGATGGGAAGGGATGGGATCTCTGCTTTTGAATGAGAGGGACTTTTTAAAACCTTCTTGGTACTGCCAAACATCGGAAATATTTTAACCAAATAAATTTTTTGTCATAAATCACTTAATCAGTGATATACTTGCTTTAATGTTTTAAATTTCATTTAATTTTTTTTTATCACTTCACATTTGATGAGGATGAAGTTGCAGTAGATAAACATATAAATCATAATAATGTGAATTTTTCAGACAGATGAGTTGACTTTTGATGAAGGAGACACCCTGTATATTCTTGACATGTCTGATTCTGGTTGGTGGAAAGCAAGATGTGGGGATAAAGAAGGCTTAATACCTAGTAACTATGGTACGTGGTCAGGTATTGTTACACCCCAGCACTTCTCCTCTAATGCTCCATGACCTAGAGCTGTGCTTTAGATTTGTGAATTATCAAGAGGTTACCAATTGTCAGATGAAATTTCATTTTAATGTTTTCTTTCTACACCAGCAGAATGATCTTGTCCCGTCTGGTCACAGCAGCATGATCTTGTCCCGTCTGGTCACAGTTTTCTGTTAGATGGGACAAGATCAGATTTATTACCATAATTTTTTTTTTTGATAGTATTCATTTTTTTCAGTTCTTTGAATTCACAAAAAGGTCACTTTCTTAATTTCTATTTAACTTATTAATAGACGTTAACTACTTGATATACAGTGTGATAAGTTGGAAAATATTTTTAGAAGAATTAAATGTCATATGTGGGGTAATTGCCATTGTTTCTTTTCTTGAACTGTCATAAAATTGTCCTTACCTATTATCAACTACTTTGCACATCTAAATAAAGAAACATATACTGAACGAAGTGGTAATGAAAACATTATCTTCTTCTTAGATCTGAAATTCTTAGGAGTTCATTCATAGATGCCAAAGAGTTTTTATCAGTGGTAATGTCTTCACTGTTCATTCACTGCAAACATCAGTTGATAAAGCACATGTAATGAGGACATCGTGACATTCTGTTGACCTTTGTCTCTTTCAGTTGAAGAGAACACGGAATCCATAGAGCACCCCTTACATGAAGCATCGAGAAGAGGAAACATTAGTTTTTTGTCTGAGTGTCTTAAAAATAGGGTATGTACATGAAATAAGGAGGTACATAATTATTTCCTTAGTGCAGTATAACCATCTTATAGCCATGAAATTGTTAAGATGAGAAATAAATGTGCTTGCTATTGACCTCATTATCAGAAAGCCTTCTTTGCATATTTGCATCGTTAAAGGAAGTTTTCAACACAGATTATTTACTCTGTGTATTCACACACATGTGTGATGCTGCTAAAAAAATTGCCATTAAAAAAAAACACATGAATGCATTGAGCCATTATATTTATTTATTTATTTATTCAATTCAGAATAGAACTATATTCCGTGCATAGGCATTTTTTAAAATTAAAATTGTTGCCAGTTAAATGCACCTGCTTATGACTTACCTAGAAATTTTCTACAAGTGCAATGCACAGTTGAATGTCAAGCCTTCTTGTACATACTTGTAGGTGTCTGTGAATGGTTTGGACAAGGCAGGGTCCACGCCCCTCCACTGGGCGGCACATGGTGGACACATCGACTGCTTAGAAACGCTGCTCAAGGTGCCTAATGTGGAAGTCAATGTACAGGTAAATGACTTAAGGACATATTCATGTTGTATTGAGACTCAGTATGGTGTATTAAGGTTTTGCAATGTGAAGTGCTTTTTTGATTTGCTTTGAATATGAAAATATATTTCATAATGAATATGAGAATATATTAGAATAAATATTTTTTCTTTAATTTTGTGTGTTCTTAAATTTGAATATGTAACTGAAGTGTTTTAAAAATTATTTCAGATTAGAAGTAATGTAAACACACCTGTTGAGGAACAGAGTCAAGAGTTTAAGTAAAATGATAAAAATGCCTATTATTCTTTTTCTGCAGAATAAACTAGGTGATACCCCCTTGCACTCTGCAGCGTGGAAGGGCCACCCTGATGCTGTTACATTACTACTGGAGAAAAATGCTAGAGCTGATATCAAAAATAATGATGGCAAAAAACCATATGAACTCGCCAAGGATCCTGAAACAGCAGCTCTTTTAAAACATGCAAGTAAGTATTAAATTCACTTTAATATAAAGAGATCCATTTATGCTTGATAATTAATATTAGCATTTTTCACAAAATAACCTTCTTAGGGAATTTCAGGAATAGCTGTTTACTGGCTTGTGAGCTTTCAGGATTGTTTAGAAATTTTGCCAGATTATTAGTTTGTAATGTAAATTCAGAAATGAAGTACATTAAATGTATACAGTGCAAATCTTTATGCCCACCATTACTTGTTTTATGATAGCCTACTCTGTACTCATTTCTGTATCATTAGGGAGTTGAGGTATCAAAAGTGACGAAGTACAAGTGCAAAGTACAGAGAACCTAGATTGTACTTATTATAGGGCTGTTTTAGGCTTCATTCACATGCAATGTCTATTTTCTAAATTCTATTTTCTATTCGCAGTATGTCTTATGATCACGGTCTGTGTCCTGAATATCCCGCGGCATAATTACTGGCAGCGCGAGCCAGTTACTATAAGTTACTAAAAGTAGACATTCCATGTGAACGAAGCCTTACTTTGCTTAAGTACAAACTCGAAGACATAATAGGCAAATTGCATGCTTAATTGCGTAATTTGCATAATTTCTCCTCTTTCACTTAAATTAAGCTGTCATGAAGGAATTCAGATGTACAAATATGTCTTCACTTACCAAAAAACAAAACAAGTTTTCAGTTGGGTGTTTTTTTTAAACATAAACTCAAGTCATGTAATTTATATTTTTGATGAAGATTTCTTAAAATCTAAGTTAGCTGACCAAGTATTATAATAAAAATTGAGGTCATGGTGAACATGAAGTGAAGACGTAGTTCTCAGTACTAGTTTTGTTTTTTGTATTTTATTGTTTTGGAAACCTTCCTTACTTCTGTTAATAAGGAAGTAAAGTATTGAAATGGTGCCAATTCTAAAATGTTAGATCTTTAAATAGATCAACCAGCCATCCGAGGTCACAGTGTGAGAAGTACTATTAGGCCATATGTTATTGCGTGATCTCTTTGATGTGCTTCTTCCCTTTGATGGGGTTCATTGGACTAAGTTGAAAGACATGGTCCTGCATGCACTCACTGACCATAGGGACCACATTTCCACTGAAACTATGGCTCTATGTAGATCGATCCAACTCCATGGGACTCGTGCTGAATGCAATCAGAATTACAGATTAACATGCCTCCTGTTGTTCCCAACGAACTCTGTCATCACCATCTTTTCTGTCTCCTACTCAATGCCAGGAGGCATGTTAATCTGTTATTCTAATTGCATTCAGCGAGAGTCCCTGCAGAGTTGGATCGGTCTACCATAGAATGATAGTTGCATTGGGAATTAGCCCACAGATTGCTTATGGGCTGAAAAACATTGCATGGAAATTCTCCCTGTTACAGATGGTAAACAGTTTTACTGAGATGGGCTAAATGAGATTAATGTTGTCATAATGTGAAGAAATTCAATTAACTGATTGGAATTATCAGTGTTATGGCCGTCTTAAGCATGTTTGAAAAAACATATATCAGTTGATTAATGAATTTATGGGAGCCTTTCATGAAATTTTCAGAGAATTTGGAAATCATTTCCCAAGAGAGTTTCTTTGTTTGAACAGGAGGCCAGTTGAAAACAAGCCTGTCCTACTGCATCTGTTATGTAAATGAGTCCATTAATTGCAGAGAATAGCAGCTTTTGATCATCCTGTTAACAGCAACAGTCAAGTGAAAATGTCACCAGCATTCATCATTTGCTTTGACACTCTCACTTTTGATGAAAACTTAAATATATTTGCTTGCAAAGCCTGTCTAAGGTTATCCTGACACTAGGGCAATATCATATCATTAATGGTATTGTGTTCTTTTCCAGTTATTCCAAGAACGTTTTCCACAGACTATGGAGATGAAGATGATTCTGACTGAGAAGAGGAAGCTGTTTTGTTTTATATTCTACTTCAACAGATGCCTAGCATTCCGTAATGTCTGTGGGCCCCATTGGAGGGGAGCTGGGTGCTGTGGATAGTCATGTTATCATTAGATGTAGTTACATTGAATTCAAAAATTAAAATAACATTTTAACAGAAAAGTCAAAACCTCAGGATAAAGGATAAAAAACATTATTTTCAAGTAAATTAACCAAAATTGCTTGTTTTGCCTCAAATATGATATAAGTAAAAAGAAGGTCTAGTATATGGTAAATGCATTGAATATTAGCAAATACCTGTATATACCTGGTAAAGTGAAACTCTGGAAGGAACTGGTTCTATGCCTTTATTATAAAGTGCATTATTATGTAATTAACATGTATTCTGATCTTATATTCTTGAATTTGAGGTCTGATGAAACAATATTGAACAATGGTGTCACCACCAACCATAATATGGACCAATGACATTGTTGGAATTTTTTCACCAATCAAAAAAAAAGGAAACATATTGTCAATGGGACGACAACAATATCAAATAACAATAATGTTGTTGTAACTTTTGATGCTATTTTGAAGGATATTGACATTCAGGTAAATAATCATACAGAAAAGTATTATAGACTATTGTTTACCATTCAGTGTTTTGTTTTGCAAACGTCAACCAAAGTAGATAACTTGATATTAAAGGGGACACCTACAGGGTGTTTATTCCCTTTAATCTCTCTTTCCTTTCTCTCTCTCTCTCTCTCTCTCTCTCTCTCTCTCTCATATGGTACCTAAAGAACTGTACATGTTACATTCCATACTTAACAGTAGTGACAGATTCTAAAACATGGATTCGCTTCGCCCAAATTTGTTAACTGATCCATATTCATTCATGTATAAATCATAATTCTTATTGAAAGTTGACCTGGCAGTTTATTTGAGGATGAAATGGGACACAGTTTAAGATGTATATATATATCTTGCAAAAGATCTTGGAAAACATGAGTTACACATGAAATATTCAAATGTTGATTAACTTTGTCCATAACACTGTCATTGGTAGCATTGTCAGTATAAAAGGTTTTTCTGATACTTTTTACATTTAGAACATTCTGTACTGTTTCTTCCATGTTGAAGTAAAAACAAGGGCTGTAGAGCATAGCAAAGTGGTTAGCCTTCACACTGTGAGCTGTATGTATTGTGTACAACCATAGATAATTGAACACGATGAGTTACTGTATGTCTTCTGTGTTATTGTCAGTTGTCATTTAATATTTACAACATAGGGAATGCTGATGCTTTTTAAGTAGAAATGCTAGCAAGGCAAGTTTTGCCTTTATAGATCTGTTAATATTTTAAAGTCAAAATGGAGGTGACATTGTAAAAAAGATGTTTGTATTTTACATGTTATAATGTTTCTTGTATATTTCAGTTATCGAGTAAATAAAACCGTTAATTATTATCACACCTTTGTTTGTGTTAAACAAACATACCCATAACCAGTTTTGTATCATGTCTGTGCCTTTCAAACTAACTGAAAAATTAAAATTCTGTTTAGAATGATATTGAATAAATAAATTTAATTTGATAATGAAATTAAGGCATAAGTCCTGTATCATTTAAAATGGAAGGCCGCCCAGTTAAATGTAAACAAATTTTTAATCTTAAAAGAATTTTAAATTAGTATATGTATGTTTGTAGAAGTTCTAACTTAGCTGACCTCAAGGTGGAATCTACGTTTCCTGCAAAGCGACTACACACCAAAGGCATAATTTTTTTTAGTTTTTATTCACTACAAAAACTTGCAGTTTTTAATCATAACTATTAAATAATGTTGCATTTTAACAAAGTAAAAAATATACAAATGCAAGATGCTAAAAAGCATATCATTTTGATAATTAAAATAATGAACAACCTATTCACAAATAACAAAATTGGAGATGCTTATTTGTCATATAATAGTGCGTAAGACAAGGAGATCGACAAAATGTATGTTACTTTATATGTTACTGTGAGCTTCTGCTACACCCGGCCTCGTGTGTTTATGCATCAGAAGAGGCGATAGGAAAAAAATATTTTAAAAATGTTGGCAAATTTCGGCCTTGTAACAAATCACTGATGACAATCTTTCGAATTTAACTTCTATCTTGTAAAACAACTGGTCAGATGATAAAGTTCCAATTGTCACCATTTGACGTAGAATAGTTTCAACAAAGGGATTTCCACCATTATTTCACATAACTGTCAGTGTTTCATGTTTAAATAACGCGGCGCATATCTCGATCTAAAGTGGCCGTGTCTGCCAGATCAAATCTTTCCTAAGATATTCACGTAATCTCTTTACCAGAACTGACGTCCGATAAAGGTTCCGACTCAAGAAATTGTTCCATGTCACGATAGGCAAATTTCCTTCGCGTCATTCACAAAATGAATAATGACCACCGTTGCGTTCAAGCCCTAATTGCAATTCCTCTGTAACGGTACCTGACAAATTAAGGGCCAGTGACTATTACCTTAGACAATTCAACATCCTCTGATGTACGTATGATAAAATACTCAAATGATATATGACTGGAATGATCTTTATCCGATTCCTCTATCGGAAAATTATTCATGGAATTGGCACCTTAAACGACGAAGTTTAAATATGAAAACAAAATAAATATAAATATAGCACGTTACAAAATCTTCAAAATTAAAAATGTTTTGTATTTTCCGCACTTTCAGTTTCAAATCTGACCATTCTTGCATTATGATTTGAATTATTTAGTCTCCTAGTCTTCCTTTTTCCGCATTCTTTACTAGCACCAACGGATCGTTCTAAAGTCCATTGTAACAGGGCTTCCCTTCATTCATTACTCCGTTCATCGTGTTGGAATCCACCGTTCACTATGCCCTTTTCATGGGACCGATCACTTCCAATACTTGACCTATCGGTCTCCGAACCATCCGAGTCCGAATTTCTTCGTATTCTGGTCTCGTGTGGACCAGGTAACTTTGGTTCTCTACACCCATTTCTTATCTTAGATGAAGAAGAAATAGAAACGCCATCTTTCATGTCTCTTAAGTTTTTTATCGCAGTACTAGCCCGGACACTGTTCCTGCTGCCGACGGAGCCATCAGCGTGGTGACAGACATTGCCGGACATTCGTCGTGGGGCCTTTAAAAAGTTCGCCGGCAGTGAGAGGCTTTTTGAAGAACTGTCACTATTGCTGTTGTTGCTATCCGACCTGATTTGTTTTGTCCCACTGTCGAAGGTTTCAAGATCAACTATGTCTGCTTCTTTCAGTTCAAAACCTGTGCTCAAAAAGTCTGGGTATACGTATTTCGGCATCTCCTCCCGATGGAACTTAATAGAACGATTGTGCCATGAAAACCCCTCGTCGTCCATGAAAAATCCGTCTTGCTGCTGTCTTTTCTTTCTTCTGAAAGATAGGCAAAATAGATGCATGATCACCCGTTAAGTAGAACGTACTTGTTGTTAAATACGTATATATACCAATATGCAACTCTAATACGTCTAACGCGACGTCTTTACTCGTTAGAAACAAGAATTCACTCTGAGCCATGGCCGGATATAAATATCGTCTACCACATCTCGTGACTAATTCCGGAAGACCCTTCCGATGTCTATCACTCACTAAAAGCTTGTCTACCGCTGACCTTAGTGGAAAGGGCCTATCCTCTTTACAATACAATTATGTATGTAACCTGGTTAATTATACGGGATCACAGACCAGGTGACGGTATTGTTAAACTCGGGCGTAAATTGGGGGTAAGAAAACACGGCGCGACACTTGATCCTGGGGTTAAACCCAAAAAATGTCATCAACATTCTATTTTCGCCTGCGGTATATTTTCATTCAGTGCTGCATATTTTAATGCGACTCAATGAGTCAGGTTGGTCAAATTATTTACCTGGATTCCAATTTCATGTTTGAGCAACAATTACTTAGTAGAGAGGACCACAAGACGGTACAGATTAAAACTTTAAACTAGGACCCATCAAACTATTATGATGGGCCATATATATTGCTTAAAAAGGGTGATCATTTAATGTATCCGCAACCCACCACTGGTTCCTTAAAAAAAAAGCACTGGTTTAACGGGGGCTTTTGATGACAAAATTTAAGCCAAGAAAACTATAGAAGTGACCTTTCCCCACCTCATATCAATTTCTTTGCGAGAAAATATGCAAACAGTTCCGTTATCGTTTTCGTGTTTTTGAAAAGAGTGAGTCATAGGGTGGTGAGCTGTCGTTGCATTGTATGACAATATTTTGTGCACAGTGACTCATGCCTTATTCTTTCTTTATGGAAAAAAAACAATGAAAAATAAATAAATAAATAAATAAATAAAATAACAATAAAGATTTCAAGAACATTTCCTTTCATTTATTACTATTATCAAGGAATCTATCTAAATTGTTTACACACAGTATACATCCGACAAAATGTATAACCGCACTTTAAGACGGCACTTGGAGTGTCTTATAAGCCTGAAGGGTTGTTTTTACATATGCTGTGACACCGCGATATATGAATAAATCTACTTGTATATGGGGGAACATTCTAGCACGAGTACTGTATACTGTTACATTGTAATCTTCGACAACGATCATGCTAAACCCTACCTCACCCCTTCATCCTCACGCACATCGTAAATATGCACGTTTGTTTATTTACTTTTTGCTAGTACTTTTACCTGGTACGTAAATAATAACATCCACGCAGGCTAAGGCGTTTTAAGATCAAGCGCGTGACATGAAAACATTCAATTCATATGAAGACGTAAATACGATTACCAATGCACTTTTCACCCTGTGTATACAAGGACATACAGGACAGGCAATATTTTTTGTCACCAAAGACTGACTTTTTATCTGTGGATGTGATATACATACAGCAAACGGGGACAAAAATGCTCGAAAAGTAAAATTTCACTTGCGAAATTTAATTAACTCCCAATTTGTCACGGTCTTATGTTTCAAACAAGACGTCGGTCCATTATTCTTTCCGTTTTGACACAATCTCTTAGACCATGCCCGTTTATCAGGAAACGGCAACAAGCTTTGATAGTTACACCCGTTATCATAATGTAATCTGCTGATGTAGACATATCTTAATACACCTGGTTAAGACAACTGTCATCTGCCAAAAAGTAAGCGGACCATTTAAGTATATACATACCTTATTACACACACTGTCACTGCTATCAGCACGATGATGAGGATCACTCCCAGCACAAACCCGAGCAGAATTCCAATAGAGGAGGCGTCTCCGTTCCGAACTCCTTCAAGCAGGTGCTCGACTGCAAATGTGAAAATACGTCAAAATGAAAGTTTAGAGTTAATAAGAGACATAAATGAAACCGTTAATATCTAAATTTTCCCCAGCTGCTCCAAATAATTTCCATTGTGCTTTCAATAGATATTAGGTGGATTTGGTTACAATGACGTAAATTGAGATTTAATGTCGTATATCACACGCTTGGACTGCACGCCATTTGAATACTTATTTGTTGCCTTTCACCTCACTTCGCTTGATTCTTAAAGGTGGCGGGACCCCTTCCGCAACTAAAAACATTGTTATAATACTTCGTAAGAGTTTTTACCAAGGGCTCAAGCTTAATCTTTTAAGTTGCATTTTTATACCAGTCCAATGTGCTATCCTACTGTAAGACTATACCAGTTGTGCTTCCGTTCCTTTCCACTTGCTTCTTTTGAATAATAGCATCCCCGAGTTAATATTCTAATAACTTGCTGAATTTGTAGCCTATACGCAATATTATCAGACCTGTACTGCCTGTCACATAATCCGCCATCGTAGAATAAAGACAGCCATCATCTGGTATTCATGTAACGATACCGTAGTGTATATATTACACACACAGGTGGGCAGCTATTGATGTCTATTTAGATAGACACGGCCCAATGTTCGGACATGGCACTGTTACTTAAACAACAGGATTATAATTTATCCACCGCACCCCAAGTTTTGTAGCAAGTGGTCATAGAAGCAAGTATAGCCCATGCTTATCATATTTACCGGATTTTGCCATACCATAGATTTACGGATTAGTCCAGTGAAAATGGTTACATTATACATGAAGGTGAGTTTTGGCATTCAAGGTGCTCGGTCACTTATCGGTCTTCAGTGTGCCAAACGAGCTTTTAAATATACATATCGCTTTTAATACAAAAGTGTCCAATATTGATTCAGAGAAATTCATAAAACAGTTTAGTTCAGCGGAATTTAAATAAAGCAGCAATAAGCTACAACAGGTATAAAATAATTCATATGTCTAGCCATATGCACATTCAATGCCTTCTTGTACACATTAAATAGAAAACCGACTGGTATCGCGAAAGGATCACTTTTTTATATTCCAGTGCGCTTTATATGTCTATCTTGATCTTTTATAGTTCGGTGCGCATACAAATTTACATGAGAATTTCTGGACGGTATATCAACGGGCAGATGTCGCTCAAACAGCCCCTACCTTCTCTAACTTTTCCTCTTGATATCTTAATACAGACACGAAAATGAACTTGTTGCTCTCGTCGTGTACTCTATCAAAGCAATATTGTGGACTTTGGTGGCAGACACCGGTAACATTACGAAGCAGGTGCGAGTTCTATCAATTTGCTTAAAATCCCCAAGGCAAAACTCGATCTATTTGTCTTACATTTTACGATCATTAGTAGCATTACATTAAAAGACAGACTAGACAAAATGCCTTTCACTTTCATTTCAGTCATTTCAGAAGAGATTTTTAATACTTTTTAAAAAAGAACTTCTGCGATTAACTTTTTTTCACCCCTAAAAGAAGAACACCAGGACTCTTTCCTTCTCCCTATCTCTCCCCTTTCTCTCTCTTTTTTTCTCTCTCTCTCTTTCTCTCTCTCTCAATATGCCAGAGACATGCTGAGAAACTCAAAGGTGAGAATCGATAATTACTTACAGAAATTCTTTTCTCCGGGATGTGTTGCTGTCGCTCCGTCGGTGGTTCGTATTGACGTTACCATGTTTTTCATCGTTGTGGTTACGGTGGAATGGAATACCTGGGAACTGTTAGTTGCAGTCGTTTCTTCTGTGGATCTGATTGCATCAGTTGTACCCGTCACGCCAGTTGAATGCAGTGCCGATGACGATGTCGTCGGTACCGAGACGGATGATGACAGGTCGGTTGCCGTAGAGGTGAAAAAGCCACTCGATGTGGTTGGTGAAGTCGATGCAGCCGACTCCACGTTCCTAGTTGAAGCCATTGTGGAACTTCCCACTTGCGACGAAAATGAGCTCACAACATCGCTAGACGTCAGGATGGCAGTAGAACTGATTGTTCCCTCTATCGTTGAAGCCCACGCTGCATCAGTTGACATACTTGATGAATCCAACTCTGTCGTGTGGTTGTCGGTTGTTGAACTGTCAGGAAAATTTGGGGCTGTCGAGGAGTGTGATATTATTGATGATGAATCTGACGCTGAAGCTAACACTGTTGGTTCCAGCGAATACGTAGAAGAATCTGAGACAGTCGTGTGTGATTGAAATGAATTCATCGTCACTCCATCACGCGACACATCGCTGGTTGCTTGGATATTGGAAGCTGATGACTCAATAGCCACTGGAGAAGACGTGAAAGTTGTAGCTTCTGTCATAAGCGTGCTTATGGAATCAGCAGAAGTCTCGCTAAGACCTGGCGATGCCGCTGTAAGTGAAGGTGAAGAAGTAGGAGTTATTTCCGTGGCAACCCCGCTCAGGGCTGTCGTCATTGAAGTGTCATTAGCAAAATAAGCTTGGCTGGATGTCGCCGATGTCTGAAAAACAGAATACATTTTTTTAAAATCTTTTTTTATTTCATAAGGCAATATCTAAAAATGTTTAATATGAATACATAGCTTTTTTTTTCTCAGCAAGCCGACGGGTGTTTTATTGCGTATTTATCAGTTTTATGATATAATTTATTGGTTTATCACTTTTTTCATTGTCGAAAAATCGGTTATCGGTCAATGGTGATAATGACTGCACTAGTAAACCTGCCTTATTCTGTCTAAATAAAGAAAAGCATACGTTGCACATTACACTATATATAAATATCAGCCCAATCAAAAAGAAGGCCTTTTTCTTTAACCTTTTCATATCTCTTTCGCGGGTTCTTTTTACTTCAATTTCGAACTGTAAGAAGAATGACAGGAGAACTTCTCTTAGAAGTAATTCATAAGAATTAGATTTAGAAATTTCACAAAACAAATAAATATATGACTTAACAATAACTCGTTGATAACATTACATGCTGAACCGTATTGACAAGGTCTATTGTCATATATGATCGGTCCAAGGTCAATATAAGCTCCAACGACGCTTTTGCAAATAATTCATTTATATATTATCTGTGCTAGGCCCACCTCAACATATAATTGTCATTAAATATACCTTCATATCATATGAAATAATCTCCGTGGAAAATGTGATTTTGTCAATAAACACCCGACGAAAATAGAGTTCATAGTATTAATGGGCCGTTACCACGGGTAAATGCCATATACTTTTGTTATTACCACTGTGTCTAAACAACTGACCTAGTGAAGAGAATCCAGGATAAAACCTTGGAAAAAATAAACCGATTTAATTCGTCCAAAATTATAACTCGCCATATTTTGACTTCTCCGGATGCTTATCTCCTGAAAAATTTTACCGCACGCGTAACCTGTCTCAGTAGTTTATGCACGTTATATAGTGCATAAATGAGCACCTTGCGATAAGCTTTAATATAATTTGACTTCAACAGAAAATTCTTGGCAAAGACATATCAATCGTGGTATAAAAAGGCTAGTTACATACAAGAAGTGTATGTGGCAAGTACGTACTTTTTTTACATATTGTACTTTGGCACAAGGCGTTTCCCTTAGATATCATATCAGTGTTACTAGAGACAATGACAATGCAGTCATAACAATACAGTCTGATAAGATGCTTTATGATATCACGAAACGGCTAAGAGCGTCTTACGTATGTATAAACCGATAATATAATATTATATTCATTTTTAAACCGCTATGAATAATCAACTTAGCTGAGAAAAACAGACAAACCTCAAGTATCCGCTACAGAATTAACAAGGAAATCCTTTTCAACCTTCGAAGCCTCACCACTTACTGTGCTTTATATAAACACATACATACATACATACAAATATGTATGGACCACTAAATATACATATAATATATATTTACTATACTATATGGAGGAGCACTCGCACAATCAGATAGTGATGAACCACAATTATAAGGTAAAGGTTAACAATGGACTGCAGTATATATATTGTATGCCAGACCCATCATCATTTCTTATCTAAGACAATCGGTGGGGATTGGAATATCATAGCACGACGAGGCTCTGAAGAGAAGAACGCATGATCTCAAGTAGTTGATACAGCTTATGAGACGCTCTTCACCTCAAAATGACAACGAGCACGTGAAATAATCTTATAAGTAAAGGTTATTTTCTTTTCCATTATTTATTCTGTCTCTTTTTCTTTTTGTCGCATTTTTGCGGTGTCAAAATAATCCAACAGTCAGCGCACGCAAAAGCAACTACTACATTTTAGATAGCTTTATGGAAAAGAAATAAATATATGCACTAAAGTGTTTCTGTGTTTAACATTTGGTTTCTAAAATAGCTAAAAAAAACTGCTTAAATGCTCAGTCTCTCTCTCTCCCTCTCTCTCTCTAAAACTATTTCGTACTGGAATAGGCCTTCTAATATTAAACCTAACACAAGCAACGTGCACGTACCTTGCTGTGCGGAAAAGTGATTGGCCTCTTTCTGACCACACGCACTCCACATTGTCCAGTCACTGTGGTTAAAATTTTCTACATTTCATGTGTGTAGGTGGTTGAAAATATGCACATTTTCGCAAATGAATAACATCAAAATATGTCCAGCACCCTCTGAAGTCCATTACATACATTGATCTCCATATAAGACCCAGATAATAAGAACCTGTCACCAACGTGCAACATCCATTCGATGCAATTTTACATCATTTAGTATATTGGTAAACGGGCTTAGGAAATACCGTATCCGAAAATGTCGTAACTATATCTGTTTCGAAATTTCCGGACTCGGTATACTCAAGTCCCGTTTTGTGAATCTTAAACATCATAGCACAGGTAATAGGCCTATATCAGTAACAATTCCATTACGTTCGCGATAAGATTTGTGAATTTTTTAATGAATCTATATGAAGGCATATTTTTGCTTGAACTTTAGCTTTTTTGTTGTTTATATTTGATTTACACTGGCGTATTCAACATTTTAACAACGGGGGCACACAGATAAATTTTTGCTTCGCTCGGTAGGCCCTACCGGTATAAGAAGAATATTCTCGTAATTTATTGGGCATAGGCATACAAATTGTTCTTGCTCGTTTCTTGTTTTGTTCGTTATAGTAAAAGAATTACTTAATTTCAATTTTATGATGAGGTGGGATGGGGGGGGGGGGGGGTCCCTCTACCAGGGCTGCAGATCAATTATGTTCACTTTTCTCCAACGCAACACAGTGGATAAATGTGCCATGAATTAGCCAGTGACATATCTGTGAATATTTAGTGCAAAATCAATCTGTGGCCCTGGTAGAGGGTAGCGTGACCCTATACGGATTCGCCAGTAACTTGTATTTCAAGCGCCAGTTTTAATTATATCAATTCCGCTAAAGCTTGTGTTTCAGGCTTGTGTTTTGCATCTTAAATTTTGTTTCACTCTTTTAGATTGTCCAGGAAGAGCGGCATCATGAAAGCGAACAAGGCAGTTGCTATGTGATCGGACATAAACCCTGTATACTTGACTGTCAGCCAAACCACTCACTTCCTGCTAAACGCTTCTCGACCAAAAAGAAAAATCATATGAATGACGAATATGCGATTTCACACATTTCATTCTAGGATGATTAGGATGACATGGAAATTAAGTCATGACTATTACAAAAGTAGATGTCAACTATTGCTAAAATCCCCGCATAGCAAGACATACAAAAAAGCTTTTCAAGTGATCATACATGCATTATTTTGTGAGACACTCATTTACCATAATAAAAGCTGAGGCGTCTATAGACCTATATACTGCAGTCAGGTGCGATTCAAGAACACTGCGACATTCAAGTTTCATTGCTTTTAATATATTTTTCTTTGAGGTTAATAATTTGAATTAATTCTAACGGGCACAAAGCCTAAGCGGAATTTTCTCGGCTACTCTCACAATGTTTGAAAATGAATCAAACCCGCGTGTAACCCACATAAAATATCGCAACGCATGTTGTAAGCCTTGAAAAAATTTGTTTTGAGTTATTGCTTGTGCATGATTCGCATGCCAAACTTTCAAGATAAATGACAGAACAATCGTTTCATATCCTTTCCAAAAGTCACCCTTCACAGCTATCTTGATGTTCATAGATATAAACGACCAAACGTATCAGGTCTGATCCTGAGCCACGAACATTTCGGACAATTATCCATGTATACAGGATTTTTTGAACCCGGAATATTTGCACACATCTGATACTGATTAGAGACCGATCGATAACGTTCGCCTAAAAGTACACAAAGATTTAGTACTAGCCAATACCCAAACCTGCCTTACAGGTGAGCCAGTGAAAACACATACTTTAATTACATGTGATCTGGATGTTTGTTTATTGCCTGAACATATGAAGTCTTGGTCTGCATAAGCCCAATTTTTTCAAGAAAAAAAAAAAAAAAAAAAAA